TAGGAAAGGAAGGGTATTTTTATTTTTACTACTTTTTTTTGCTGCTGTATACATGTCTCTAAAGCAGGCACCAAGGTGGAGGAAGGACACGGAGGTAACAAATTGCACCTCTTGTTTTAATTTGTGGTGATCTTTCACAAATATTGTGTCACTTGTTACCTCGGGTACTTAAATGAAATTTCAGTTGGGGGGGAAGGGGGAACACAAATCAAAAGTTAAGCATTCTCTTCTCTGACAACATTAATCCTGGAAGCTAGGGTTGATCTATTTAATTTTTTTTTGCACATCTTACTCTTTGTTAAAGACTCTAATCTGCCAAGAGCAAAGTTTAGCCCCTCACCTTTTCACAGCTCTCCTTCAGTGGACCGCGCCATTGGACATGGGCCAAGTTCCCCTTGAAACATACTGTAAATGGACAAAGGAGAAGTGGGAAGACTTTTCCTGGGGAGGCATTTTTTCCCTTTGTTTTAAATTTTTTTTTTTAAGAACTGTTGTTGGTATTTAAAAAAAAAAAAAAGCAACAAAACCCCAAAGATGGTAATTGTGAAGAGGTGGGGAGATGTTTTGGTGGTCTTTGAAAAGAGGAAGCACAGCTGCCGTTGCACGGGCTTCACTTGCATTGCTACTGATTGAAGTCACAGAACTGTTGAAATGGTGAAACCCATCTTCATCTTTACTTGAAAATTTTTTCATGAAAACGTGTATTAAGATTTGGATTTTTTTCTGAATGGATGGGGTGGGGGTGGATTGTTTATTTTATGGGGTGGGGAGGAAGGAGGGCATAGCTACACTTGACAGGAGCATTGTGTGCAGTGTTAACTCCAGTAGCAAAGGGCCTGAGTTTTCAGGATTACTTTCTGCTCACAGTTGGATCATGTACATTTTACTTCAAAAGGAAGAGTCAAAGCTCTGTATTTTTTATATATTATATATAGGTAGATATTTGTCTAATTGGCTTCAGAGAAAAATATATATGAAATTTCTGTAATTTATGTAAATAGAATACTGTGAGGCAGGTACACCTGGAAATGATGGTCTATGAACTCACTCACTGGTTGTCCTGCTTCTTTTCCTCTGTTTACTCACGTACTGTACAAGCAAACATAGATTTGTCTTAAACTCCTTTTCCAGATTGAGTTTACTTAGCCAAGAGTGATGATAAACACAATAGGCTATGGAAAACCCAAACAATTTTGGGATTTGAGGGAAGGGGATGGGGGAAACGTGGTTCACCAAGGTGTCTAATAGACTCGCTGTGTGCATCCCCTCCCTGTTCTTGCTGTCCTAAGCAAGTGCAAGTTTGGAAGCCTTTGGGACTGGGAATTTCAAGAGGGTAGGAAACAAAGCATGGTGCCAGTTGTTGTATGAAATCAAGAAATCCAATTTCACAAGTCCTTCACGTTTAAAAATAATAATAATAAACAACATCTGTGCATTTGACTGGTGGCTGGCTGTGGCTAGAGTGATCTCTAAATGTGTAAACTTTCTTTATCACTTGCTGCAGTACAAGTTTGGGGTGGATTATTTAATATTAGATATAGCCTTGTGGCTCATGTGTGAAAGCTTGGCCATGGTGTACTGGAGTGCTGTGCCATTGCAGGATCTGGAGAAGCCTACCAGGGAGCTTGGACTCCTAGCAAGCACGTTAATGTTGGAACCTTTGTTTATCTGTGAAGAATGAAACTGAATATTGTATTTTAAAGATGTATTAAGGTTTGTGAGTTAACTCAACAAGCCACTTAGATTAGCACAGTGGCTCACTCACATGCCTCTGGCTAGTGTGCATCCCCTCCCTGTTCTCTTTAAACAGAGTGGGGAGAAATGCTTTTGTCCGTCCTCTAAAGCAGTGGTTCTCAAACTAGGGCTGCCACTTGTTCAGGGAAAGCCCCTGGCAGGCCGGGCCGGTTTGTTTACCTGCTGCATCCACAGGTTCGTCCGATCGCGGCTCCAGGCCAATTGGGGCTGCAGGAAGGGTGGCCAGCATGTCCCTCAGCCCATGGCGCTTCCTGCAAAGCCCATTGGCCTGGAACAGCGAACTGCGGTCAGTGGGAGCTGCGATTGGCCGAACCTGCAGATGTGGCAGGTAAACAAACCGGCCCGACCCGCCAGGGGCTTTCCCTAAACGAGTGGCGGCCCTAGTTTGAGAACCACTGCTCTAAAGCTTGGGTTAGCTGCTGAGAAGGCTTTTGTATTGAGGCTTTTATGAAAGAAAGGTTCATTGTGTAGTTCAATGTAATATGTATTGGGGTAGCTTGTTAAAGGAGAGCATGCAAATTAAAATCTCTTCTAATGGATCCTTATGCAGTTGATGGAAGGTGAAGAAATAAGAGATCTGGATTTATATTCAAATTCAAGCCTTAAGCAGAAGGCAAGTCTCAAATACCATCAGTATGATGGCAGAGTATATTCCCAGATTCTGGGATGATCCTGGGGTCAGCCTACCTACAATCTAACTGGTCCAGTCTCATTCAAGAGTCTTGGTTGCCTCAAGAGATTTTTTTTCTCCATTAAAAATATCAGTGAGCAACTGAGGGTTAAGTGAAACTTACACACATGGGTGTTCTATCTTTCTCCTAATTTTTTTTTTTTTTTTTTTTTTTGTAGTGGGGGGACGTGTGGGTTGCTGCTATTTTTCCTTCTGCTTGTAGGCCTTTCAGCACTAGCATCAATGAGGGGTTTCCCATGGCCATGCATACGGTACTTTGGGTTCTAGGACGTACCCTAAAGCTCGGTTGTTGCACTGACACCTTTCCCTCACCTCTTCTCTTCCTGTATCTGCAAATAATCCAGCAGTGGATTTGGAAGAGAATTAGATGCTGTAGCAAACTGCTTTGCAGGGATCATTGAAACTAAAAAATGCTGCCCTGAATTGATGTATAAGCAGGCACCCACTTTGTGGAGAGTAGGAAGAGAATGTGGATGGGTAAAAAGGATTGTTCTCCTGCATGGCTGTTTGGGAGACCTTCAGGGGCTGAATGTAGTAGCCAGGCTGTCTGAAAGCCTGCAGGTGGGGTGGGCTAAATCTGCAGAATCAAGCTGTTTATCAGTAGAAAATAACCAGTTTGTTGAATAGGAACTGCTATCAAGTGAAGAAGGGCTTCAGAGGAACAATTCATATGATCTGTTTCATGGAGACAGTGAAATTCACTATGGAATTGAACAGTTCTCCAATCAGTAAAACCTTATTTTAAGCTTAGGGTAAACATATTCAGTGTCTAATTTTTTTTAACTAACTAGTCTCTGGATATTCATATTGTATTTGAAATTGGATCTACAGCCAAGGGGAGTTAACTTTGAAACCCAGAACTGGAGAAGACTTGTGTGGGACTCTCCTGTTTCCCTCCTCCTCAGCTCTCACAGTCTCCCATCAGGCTTAGTCTGATATCTGGTCAATACTGAGCCCCATCTTGCTTTTACACTTCCAAAAAGGCTCCCTCTTTGGCCAATGAAAAGCAGTAATGTATCCCTTCCATAGACAGGTTCTATGTGGAAGGCCTTATGAGATGTTCCAAAGCCATCTGTGACCCCATGGTCCCTTAACTCATGAGGGAGACATTCTTGGAGCTGCTATTCCACCAGTCAGCTATCTAAGATATTATATGAACCAGAGTACTATATTAGGTCTGTGGTGAAGAGAACATATCCTTCCAGGATAGAGCCTGATACCTCCATGGCTTTAGGACTGCATCTCTATAGCAAAAAAGTAACCAAACTAGGTAAGATCTTGATTCATCCACAATCTTAGTCTTCTGATGTCAATCACTTAAAAACCACGGTTTTATGTGTTCTATGCATTACCTCAGGACCATGCAAAAGAAATGAAGCTCTTCACTCCATTGGAGCTTCTTCCATTTATTGCAGCATGAAGAGGCATTTGGATCCGCTTTGCAAGATCACTTTTTTTTTAAATGAGACTTTTGGCTCCTGAAATAAGATTGAAGTGAAATGATGTAGAACTACCTAACAAACTTGTGGCAAAAGCTGAAGCGGTAGTAAGGATGGCTTTTTGTTTAGCGTGGTCCTACTATCTTCCTGCTGTGAGGAAGCTAGCTTGCTTTCCTTGATAGAGAGCCATTCCTACACACAGCCGTGAACTATTGTCTGAATTACAACTCAAACCTTCCCTTAGCAACCACAGAAACGAATACTTAGGCCCAAGCCACCCGTCGAGGTATTGCTCCTTCTTATAATTAGCTTGACAGCTTTTCATAGAAAATGGTGGATAATTGGTTTACCAAAAAAAACTTGCACCCTGCCCTTCTCTTCTCTTCTCCCCCCTCCATCCCCCCCCAACAAAAAAACCCAAAACAAATCTTAAGGGCATCACTTCCTGCTGTCTTCTGAATCTGAACTTTACAACTGGTATTCGGGAACAAGTTTTTGGCTTTTGGAAAGCTGCTCTTGCAGAGTGCAGGAGCATCCATGCTGATGTCAACCTTGTTGAATTTATGCTAAATGTCTGTAGATAAGCTCTCTCCAGAACCTCCACAAATGCTGTTCTGGGGGGTGTCACTTGGTTTTTAACACACCTTCATAACCCCCCCCCCCGCATTTAAGCTACTTCTATTTTTCTCAGCTCTCACAAGTGCCATTTAGATCTACAAGAGATGTTGAAATGTAAGCATTCATCTTATAGGTCGACTTCTATTTTGAATATTACTGTTTTGTTAAACAACGTATGGCCTTTTTTTCTA